GTGCCTCTCACAGCTACTTGACCACTATGACAAAATCACTGAGGAAAAGAAAAAAAAACAGAACGCAGATGTGGTATACATGGATTTCGCAAAGGCATTCGATAAATGTGACCATGGAGTGATAGCACACAATGAGTTCAATGGGAATAACCGGTAAAGTAGGACGGTGGATACTCAGTTTTCTGTCAAACAGTATTCAACGAGTAACAGCCAATCATATAAAATCGATTCCAAGCGCAGTTAAAAGCTCTGTACCTCAGGGTACAGTCCTTGCACCACTGCTGTTCCTTATTCTCTATCAGATATAGACTCAAATACAAGTCACAGCTTCGTATCATTTTTTGCAGATGACACAAAAATCAGCATGAAAATTACCTCTGCTGAAGACATTATAAAACCACAAGTAGGTATTAATAAAGTTTTCGACTGAATGAAAGAAAATAACATGCTGTTTAAAGTATTAACGGTGATAAATTTTAGGTACTCAAGTACGGCAGAAATGAGGATCTGAAACATAATACAGGGTACAAAACAATCAAATCTGCCCATAGTAGAAAAACAGCATGTTAAGGATTTGGGAATAATGATGTCCGATGACCTAACGTTTAGGGAGCATAACCAAGCAAATATTGCGTCAGCCAGAAAAATGATAGGATGGATTACGAGAACTTTCAAATCCAGGGATCTAGTCACAATGGTTGTACTCTTCAAGTCACTTGTGTTGTCCCGTCTTGAGTACTGCTCAGTACTCACTTTCCCCTTCAGAGCAGGAGAGTGCTGAAATAGAGGGAATACAGAGAACATATAGGGCACGCATAGACGTGATAAAGCACCTAAATTATTGGGATCGTCTCAAAGCTCTCCAAATGTACCCACTAGAAAGAAGACGAGAGAGATATCAAATAATATACACCTGGAAGATACTAGAGGGCGACGCTTAGTGGTCTAGGATGACGGGGCGACGCTTAGTGGTCTAGGGTGACGGGGCGACTCTTAGTGGTCTAGGGTGACGGGGCGACGCTTAGTGGGCTAGGGTGACGTGGCGAGGATCCGTTGTCAAGGACAGAAGTGTCAGAGGGTGACTGACACGGCCGCGGGAGCTCCCTGAGGAAGACAAGTAGCAGGAACCCTTCGTGGAGAGCCTCTGGTTACTTCCATAATCCCGGGCACGCTGGCAGCCAGTGTGTCGGTGTGGGTGCTCCTGTTACCGCGGGTGGCCACGCCTGCCTAGATATAGCGGCGCCTGCCTCGGTATAGCGGCGCCTGCCTCAGTATAGCGGCGCCGGCCTCGGTATAGCGGCGCCGCTATAAGCTGTGGAGGGCACTTAAGGAACAGGTTGTGGAAGCAAATTCTATTCATAATTTTAAAACTAGGTACGACAGGGAAATAGGACTAGAGTCATTACTGTAAAAACTGATGGCTCGAAAGGCGGGATCCAAGAGTCAATGCTCGATCCTACATACGCAAATAGGTGAGTATACACACACACACACACACACACACACACACACACACACACACACACACACGAGGCGGGACCAAAGAGCCAGAGCTCAACCCCCGCAAGCACAATTAGGTGAGTACACACACACACACACACACACACACACACACACACACACACACACACACACACACACACACACACACACACACACACACACACACACACACACACACACACACACACACACACACACACACACACACATATATATGAGGATTGCTAAAATCTGAAGAAAACTAGCAGATCGCATAATTGCACTGACAAGTGGTTAATAGAGTTCAACCCTAGCATATGCAAAGTATTATGGCTGGAAGCCGTAGATAGAAGGTCAGGTTTAACTGCGAGGGAAACCGCCTAGGGAATAAGAAGGGTAAAAGGGAAGTAGAAACTCTTAACACAGTAAACCAATTGTCTTTGGTATACATTCAATTAGTGATGGAGTAGGCGAAGAGATCTGTAATTAAACCTTCTGAACAAAAATTATTGAAAAGTTGAGATCTTTCCTGTAGAAGAACACTAAAAAAAAAGAGAAGTAGAAATAGAGAATAGTAGAAAGTTCTATGCCAGATTCTTATAAACATTGGTATGGCCTTCCCTGGAAACACAAACCGAAATTGTCTCTATTTTCCGCTTGTTACAACTTGTAATAAAGTTGTTACATCTTGGCTGAACGTGTTTATGACGTATAAGAACGTTGTTAGAACATGCTATATTGGTTGTTATAACTGGTTAGGAGGTGTTACAACTTGTTCGAACGTTGTACCAACGTCGTAGTTTCGGTGTGTGTGTTTGGCGGGTTCCAACCTCTCCTCTTACATAAAGCGTCTCATTTCGCTCGTATGCGTTACACACGACCAAAAATGGTCGTACTATAAAATGGAAGCGGGTGGCGAAAGTGACGTGCTGTCCCGTCTTCTGTTGTGGGTCCTCAGGCAGGTCAGGAGACCACACTTCACACTGACTGTTTTCTTGACGCTGAGGAACCTTAGGAG